ATAATTATTTTTTTATTTATATAATTTAAATTTAAAAAATCATTTTATTAAATGTTGATACATTAAAATATATAATGAGTTTTCAAATGTAGATATCAACATTTAATAAGATGACATTTCAGTTTTCAAATATATGTTGGGATTTTAATTATTTTTAGAAGTTGGGATTAATAAGCACTACCCTAATTTTTTTATATATTATATAAATAATAATATAAATTTTATTATTTTTATTTAAATATAAAAACTTATCGAGTTTCCATATTAGCAGTAAACTTATCTACTCTCCAGGAAATATCTAAAACTCCAAAGCCCAAACGTGGAGGACGAGAAAGTAAAATGGCGATAAAATCCGACTGAATAATGAACAGACAGAAACGGAAAAAAACACGATCTTAAATTTTAACTTCTTCCTATCAAACGAAATGAAATTGAAAGAGAGCTTACCGGGAGTAACATCCGCCCAACCGTTGGTCGCCGACAGAGTAGACTCCTCCGTCGCCTGAACAGGATGCAACAAGCTCCGCCTCCCATTCTCGGCGTCGCGTAGCCTCAAATTGGCCGCATTGTTCACCGGTAATTTGACAAATCCAGACTTGATCGGTGCCGACCCCGCAGGGTGGAACTCCGGCAAGGAACAAGAGATCATCGCTCGTTCTGTCCTGAGCACAACCATATCTACAGAAACGCCGATCGGAGCAGGGAGCTAGGGATTGATTTATGGAAGAGCGCACGACGGGCTTCCCGGGAAAGGAATTAATAGATTTTTAAACGGTTATGTGGAGTAAATAAATAGAATCCAGTATCCATAGATGGGATAAGATTCGGCTAAATAGGTATGTACCAAAATGAGGCTAAATATGTAGAATTGGATCGTGTCCATGGATGGAAATTGGAAAGGGTGCTGGATTCCGATTATATAATGGAAACTGATATGGTTACCAGCTGATATTGTGAAATTATAATATGATGTATTTTTTTTTGAACATGTAATATGATGTATTTTAAATAATTAGTTTATTTTATTTAATAATTTATTCATAAGATCTTATGAATTAAAGTTTATTTTAAAAAATATTTTAATATTTTTAATAAAAGTTTATTGAAATAATATAATTTTAAGATAATTTTTTTTAAATTTAAAAAATAAAACAAATAAATATTATTATCATATTTTATTTATATATTTATTTAATATCATGTCATATTTATTTAATATTGTAAGTTTGTAATTTTATATGATATTATAACTTTAGTTTTGTAAATAAAAAAATTAGCTCATGAGCAAGAAAATTTTAGCCTTGATTTAGTTTGAATATTAAAAGTAATTGATAATTGATAATTATAACTATGAGTTAATAATTGATTAAACAACGGTTGATATCTATTTCCAAACATCTCAGTAGGTTGTTTAAAGAGAAAAAATTATAGATTAATAAAATCAGTGAAGCCAACCACACCTTAGTTTAAAAATTATAGATTAGGTACATGTGTCCATTTTAAGGGGATAAGCTCGAGGTCTCATATACTCTTAGTATAAATTTGCTCAATGACTTTATAGATTAATGATATTTTTTCCTTGTAGAAGTACAAGTGATGTGTTCAAGCCATGATGAAACTAATTCCATTGAATTCGTTAACTTCCTAGCCCAATTTTTAAAATATGTAAGATAAAGGAAAAATGTGCCTTTATTTTTTTGTCAGTACAAAACGGCAAAGAAAATGAAATTTGAACTACTGAGTAACCAATGATTTGTTGCTATCAACCATAAAGTGTGAAATAGTCAACTAATTGAGCAAATGAGAAGCAATGCTTTCTTGTTCTTTCACTCACTTTACTATATCTATTTAAATTCAAAATCTTTTCTTTTCTTTTTTTTTTTGTTTGGTTTAACGGTCAAAGTGTTTTTTTGGCCAACTTCCTCACTAGAGAAGAATCAAATTTTGACCAATAAGATGAGGAATAAACTCTCTAAAAACACACATTATCACTTCTTTTTTTTTTTGGAAAATACATATTATCACTCCACTAACAGGTTTTTATGAAAGGATAGCTCTCAAAAATTTAGTACCTAGACTACACTAAAGGTGTTTTTAGTAATTTTAGTACTTAAATTATATTTTTGTACAATCTATACTTCATTAATGGTTTTTTTTGGATAATTTTAATAGTTAAATTATATTTTTTTTGTGCAATTTGAACTAAAAAGAAAAAAAACAAGAAGAACATAATAAAACAAATTCCAATTACCTTCTAAACTATCGGAAGTGAAGCCCAAGAAACGCAAACCCCAACCCAAGAAATTGGGCAGAATTTATCATCTATTCATGGCTCAATCTTAAATACAAAGCCCAAAAATGCAGAAGGCGGATGGCCAAGCCTACGGCAACATTTATTCCACTGCCCATTGGCCCCATTCTTTTAAATGTTAAGCTCAACCCATTTTTTAAACTTATTGAGCTAAGTTTACTTCAAAAAAAAAAAAAATTTGTTATTGAAATAATTTTTTTTGTTTTATTTTATTTTTTATAATTTTCACATGTTATTAAATAAGTGAATGCATTTAATATTATGAATTTTACATAAATTAAAAAATTTAAT